GGCACAGGGCACAGGGCACAGGGCATGGCACGGCACGGCACGGCAGCACGGCACGGCACGGCACGGCACAGCACGGCACGGCAGGGCACTTTAGAAAACTACCCAGTCCTCATCCAAAAAAACTAAGTGCAACCCTGCCTGGGAATCTGCTCACATATACACATGGACGTGTATGTAGACACACACACACACGTATGATTGATGGTCTGCTAATGTGACTGTGTGTTGCTGTTCTTGAATGCTCTGAAGATCGGGTTGGCTTCTTTTGCAGGGGGCAGTGAAAGTTCAACTACTTCTTTCCGAAATTCTAGAACCGGCCCAGCGGTAGTGCTCGAAGTAAGACCTGGCACGATCGCTTATCATACTTTTCGTGAAGACAGTGTCATCGCAGCAGCGGAAAGAACAGAGACAGTCAGGAATGAACTACTCGTAACAGTATGCTATGTGCGACGCATACATGGAGATTTTCCGTGGTATCAATGACGGGAGTGTCGAGCACAAAGCGCAGGCCGGGTGCTTTCCAAGAAAGCACAGCCGGTATGGCCCGGCAGCTCGGAGCCACGGAAAACCCGCCCTTTGATGGTTTCATGCACATGAAGCGTGGAAGCCTGGACTGACTTCTCAAGATTCTTCAATTTTCTTCAAGCTTCTGATCATTTTCGATCTAAGGGCGTTCGGGCCGGCATGCATAAAGGGGGAGTAGTCACACAGTCTGGCTGTAGCTGTACTCATGCAAGCACCAGTCTGCAGAATGGTGCTCCCAGAGCACTACAAGATAAAGTTCTAAGAGTAGCACTGCATTTCGTGGCTTTGGCCCGACGAAGGGCTGGAGTAGAGGTCGGCACGGTGAATGTACCCTCGAAGTCTCGGCAAACCTGGATCCTCTCGGGCAGACGACAGAACGAAGAAGTTGTTGTCGGAGCACGTGTGTCAGACAGACAACCGGTCCCGACCATTCCTCGGCTGAAATGGCACCTGCGAGCAGTTCCGCTCACCTGATCTTCCGTCTAAGAACATCGCACAGCGAAGGGTTCTGCTGCGAGAGCCACTAGGGCATCACCACAGCTGAAGAACTACACTGGCTAGGATACTCCGGCAAAATTTGGCAAATAAATGCCGTGTCGCTAAAGTTCGCAAGGGATCACCCTGCCCCTGACCGCAAACGGTGTGTGCCCGCAATTCTGGCGACGGCATGCTTTGCTTCATGGTTTTAGTGCAGTCATGCCGGAGACTACCTTGCTGCTGGTAGGCTGCGCACCTCGGCAACTCAGGACTGCTCTTTGTTGGCTTGCCGCTTCGATTGTACTTGGCCGATAGCCCTCATCTCTACGAGCTAATTCGCCGCATGAGATCTCTGGCCGACCCCGCAATTGCGGGTGAGGTGTCTGCTGCTTGTCTCGAGCAGTCCTGGGATTCTTGTCTCCGTGGTTCATCGTGGTCCGGGATTCTGCTTTCAGCTGATGTCCCAGGTGTCTAACATCCGGAAGGTGCTTGACGCAGATGGCTCCTGGGCTCGTGCTAAGGAACTTAATGCTACCACAGCGGGCAAATGTCGCACTTACTAGAGGTCCCTCATTGTGGCAAGTTAAATTTGTGTATGTAGGTAGGTAGGTAGGTAGGTAGGTAGGTAGGTAGGTAGGTAGGTAGGTAGGTAGGTAGGTAGGTAGGTAGGTAGGTAGGTAGGTATATGGGTATAATCGTATAATTGCACACACACACATATATATGTATATATACATATGTATATATATATATATATGTATATATATACATACACACATATGTAGATGCATAGGCATATTCGTATGCATATGTATACGTATGTGTATGTGTATATGTACCTGTGTACTAGTATGGCTGGTACAGTAAGCACTAGGAAAACCTTCTCAGGTTGTCCTTATTCGGTTTTGGTCTACGGCTTGCTGGCGGGGCTCCAAGCGCTACATTCAGCGCGGCTCACCGGAAAGCGGGCCGGGACAGGACTCGTCCCAGGGTCTCGAGTTTAGGGTTTTGGATTGTCGGCTTTAGGTGCCAGAGGTTTCTTTTTTTTAATTTTGTTTGGGGGGGGGGGTTCGTGGTATAGGTAGAGAGTTTAGGGGGTCTGAGGGTTCGAGGCTTAGGGGTTTAGGGGTTCCTAAGCCCTAATTAGGGTTTCGGGCCCCTTTAGAGTCTATTTAAAATAAGGAACCCTAACAAGTTGGGTTTAGGTTCAGAGTCAGGCTAGGTATTCAGTGCAAGGAAGGCTGCACGTGTAATCATGCAGGAGCCCAAAGTCTGGATGCTCTTTCGGCGACGGCGCGGCTCACAGGTGAGCACCAGTTTGAAGTGAAGGCCAATTCTTGAGATTCTGCGAGCTTCTGCAGCGAAGCTTCTCGATTTAGCTGTCTTTGCATGCCACGACTCATCTTCGGCGCTTGACAGGAAGTTGCGGACAACTGTCCTCTGATCTTCCGTGGAATATGGGTTCCAAACAGGATCGATGAGCACACAGCGGCCTACACGTGGTCCTTTAATTCGTTCTCCCGCAGTATGGAGGGTGCCACCTGTCGGCGCTTATGTATTCTGATGAGCTGGCTGAGCCAAGGGCTTCCCATTCCCAGTAAGGTACTGTGGGTGCTGGATTTCTATGCCGTGGAGAACACCGGCAACCAAAGTGTTGCTTCCTTGGCCTGGCAAGAGCCGCTTGGCGACAGAGCCTTCCTTGTAAGGATTGAGGGCTTGAGGGATTTTGACCTGACCTGAGCGCAGTCTGGTGACGAGGTCACATGTCTTGATCTATGTCGCACGATTCAATGCTGCCAGCAGCACGTGGGCTTTTCCAGTTCAGTTTTTCAATTCGGGAATGGCTGCGGATGTTGAGAAGGCGCGATGGTCCTGCGCCATCAATCCTCGCATGATGACATCTTCATGCTTTCAGCGTTTCTGATGATAGTTACGCATGTTGGTGTCACCCGCCGATGTGGAATGATTTTGCCACTGGATTGAAGGAGGTTGTCCTTCCGCCGTTTGTTCACTATGACTTCGAGCAACCTGGTGCAAAATGTGCTTTCTGGTCGATGGACGTCGGCGAGCGCTTGTGCAAGCTTGCACCCAGGCTTCTTCATGGAAGTCTCTACGAAGTTCGCAGCACAATGTCGACAGCAATGAAGCTTGCTGCTCTCAAGGGGATCGAACGCCTGTGGGGCCTATCGCTGGCGGAGCCCTGAGCTGCAGAAGAGCAAACGAGGAATTGCTTTTCTCCTCCTTTCCAGCCATCACCTACACTGCTACAAGCCTGGCAAAGTGGAGTAAGCTGACCCCCCTGCCTCATGTCTACATAGAAATAGTCGGATGTCAAGCGGGTCGAAGGCCTTCGGGCGAGCAGGCTAGACGGATTCAGCTGGAACTGACCGTCCTGTTGCTCCTTGATCAAGACTCTGGTATCGCTGGGCCATGTTAGGCACAATCCTTTCCTTCACGGCTTTGCCTTTCGACGCTCCTCCACATAGGATGTAGACGGGAAGCTCCTGTAAGGCTCAAGCACAGGCATGGAAGAAGACAGAGAAAGACGCCAGGAACGCACCGGTTAGAAGGTAAATTGGGGTGTAGACCCGGCATCGCAGATAGCCTGGGAGAAAACTCCAAACCCTCGCCTGGTTCAGCCTCCCACGCCTCCAAACCTCCAGAAAGAAAGGAGGGATTTTCTCGACAGCGTCACAGGATCTTCAGCCCGAAGCCCAGTCCTCCAGAGGACGGTTCTTCCAACAAAACTCGTGCCGAGTGGCTCCTGAGCCCCTCCCAACTGAGCCCAGGAGCATGCGCCCCAGCTCCTGCAGCTCCTGGAAGGTAAAGGTGGGCTTCATGCTCGGATGAATTGGTCAGAAGAGGTTTTGGTAGTGATGATGATGGCGATACAGGGCATGGTGGCTTTTCACTAGCGGATTCATGGTCCCAATAGTTGTCACTCCTCATGAAGCATGTTGATGTGGGATGCTATCATTCAGGTTCTGGTGCTGATGATTCGGAGTTGGGCCTTTGCGATTGTAAATTGTAAGATATTGGGATGTTCTTGCTTTTGGTGGCTGCGCTGACGGGCGTTTCGAGGCCCGAAAGTCCCGGGGGAGAAGAGAAGAACTTCTGTAGCACTCAAAGTGATGAGAAACGGAGCAACAGCATACTATTGTCGATTCTAGTGCATATTGTACCAGACTGTTGCCCTGCGCATCCTTCAGAGAGTGCCAAGCGGACCTGTGGAAAGGAGCAGCCTTGCAGCCTAACATAATGAGCCTGCGCACTAGACTTCACTGGCCCCAGACGAAGCGGAAGGGGATCAAAGGTAGGCAGCAGGAGGGCACCAAGCCGCACAGAACTGGAGTTCTGGTCCGAAGGCTCCGGGGCTTGAGTTTTTTTTGGTGTTGGGCGACCGCCTTGATCGAAATTCGGAGGGCCAAAAGAGCTTCGGGATTCTCACCCTCTGGCGAAAACAGAGTCCAGTCGAGCGTGCGAGGCACATCAGCCTTCCCCGGCCTGAACCGCAACCTGAGAGTGACTGTGCGCTTCATTAAGCAGATTGAGCTTTGCAAGCCGCTGGAAGACATCATGCCCTCTGGCTGCATGCAGAGTAATTGAATACCGTGGAAGTAGCGGTTGATACTCGCAACAGTGGGAACAACAGTATTTAGGCAATAAAAGTTGCCACAACCGATCTGCTGGCAAAGGTGGCCTTGGAGAGCCTTAATGCACAATATAGGCTTTAGGAGAGTTGTTTGAAGGTTTTGGTGGATCTGAGCAGGTTTTCATACACTCGAAAGGGTTTTTTCAGGGTTTGATACCGTTAATTAGCCCTCTGCGTATACCAGACCTTAAAATCCTACACCCTAAGCCCCAAGCCCTACGGATACTGAGCTTGATTGTAAGGTGGACAAATGTGCTCAGAAAAAACGCCCACGGATATGCGCATAGCACCGCAAGCTTCTCGGAAGGAAAAGAGCTAGCGGGCCGCCAGAGGATCTTCTTCTAGCATTCCCGCCGAAGGATCCGGCGGCATCACGGTTGCACGCTAGTTGTGTTGGGGTTTCAGGGTTTTGGGGTTTCGGGCTTTAAGGGTTTAGAGGGCTTTAGGGTTCAAGCTTCTGTGGTTCCTCTCTTTGCCTCCTTGCGTCAGGACGCACAGAAGCAGATCGTGACAGTGTTCGGTGCCGGTGTGGATGTGACCAATCTCGTAAACCCTGGAGACGTGAGACCGCTGGGCACCTTCGTTCCAGGACAGGCCATTGCCATTTTTTGCATGGCACATGTAGCTCGAATTCAGCAACTTCCATGTTGCGCCAGGCCAGCGAGCTGCAGAAGGTGGCTTGGCATGCGACATTGGGACAGACGATGCTAAAGAAGTGTTCGTGTGGTACTGTCAACCAAACTGGGCAGTGCTGGGCAAAGCCGTGGGCTCTCCAGACTCCAAAACTCTTGCTGGATATCGAACCGATCTAACTGTTGATCACCCTCTCGCGAATTCGAGCTGCATCCAATTGCCGAGGACATACCTTCGAATGGGAAAGGCAGGGCTGAGAGAACACAGCTTTGTGGGCTGCAAGTGGCCGACTAGCCAGAGCCGGCAGGTCCTACTTGGCATCGCCATCGCGGCATCTTTCGGATGAGTTTGCACCGCGTTAACTGAATTTTTTTACCGTGCAGTCAAGAGATCTTCGGAATGAAGCTCTCAGAGACTGCTCGCGGCAGCACTCCGCACCGAAGCGCCTGACAGTGTGCCATGCAGGTCATGTCGTGATTGCGTGCCCTTGTAAGGGCCTTAGGGGCACAACAAAAACTGGTCAGGAATCCTCAGCAGGCAAGTGTTGGGGAATCGAATCGACCTCAAGACAAAAAGAAGCACAGCAGCTGCATTCTATTGGTATCCACCAGCAGTCATTATCATGCTTGCCATTCTGTTGCGGGCATCAAACGCATGTCAACCTTTGATAGCTTCTTTGTAAACAAGCCCTTCCCCTATCTTCCCCTCAGTCTGTTTACAAAAGTGGACTGTTGCCGCGTAAGATAGACTTCAAGGCGTGAGGTGTGCTGATCTGAACCAGGCGTGTGGCGTCACTACTGTGACGCTATAGATGCACCCCCGAGTCATTCCTGACCCCGTACCATGGATTACGATAGGTTGTAAGTCTTGTCCACGTCACAGTTGACAGTTGAACATGTCGCTGCATTTGGGGAGTCAGTGGCGTTACGGCCTCGTACGGGAAGGTTGCCAATGTGTTATCGAGTACAAAAAAGAAGCAGCGCAGGCTTCAGAGATACCCCAACCATCCTTGTGAGAAAAGTTGTGAACCCGAGGCTGAAAGCCTGGCGATGCTCCTGGGCCCAGTGTGCATGGCCGGCTGGGTTTGGAGAATCTTACATCTGTATTTCGTTGAATTGGTCAGGGCTTCCTGCGGTGAAGCCACAGTTTGGCTTCGGAAGTCATTGCTGCCTCTTTCACTGAGATTTGTGAACTTCCGCATTCTTCATGCCTTGCAGACCGGAAAGTGTGAGAGAAATTGAAAACATCCTTCCAAGTCGGTACACATCCAGCACGTAGCTCTGGAGGGCTTGGGGACCTACCTCTCCATCAGCGCCCACAACGGGATACAGCGCCTCACGTCGATCCCTCGGACAAAAGTTTGTCTCAGCTGCAAACGCAGTCTCCAAGAGCGAAAACCTTTCTGCCACCAGCCCGGGTCCCTTGGTGTCGCAGCAAGATGCTGGGTACTTTGAACATACTGCACAAGATTCAATGCGGCAGCATCTGGAATCTGCACATCTCGAGAGTACGAAAGAACCTTGGAGCCATCATCAGATCGAGCAGAATCATGCATCAACTTTCTGCCCAGGCCGTTTCTCCAGGAGGACTGGGATGAACCTCCAGCTGCACCCATGCCAAGCACTCGGTAGCTTTCTGGACCCATAGTGGAACCGTCTAGAGTGCCAAGACTCTAAGATGCTTCAGACCAGGCCGACCGTGGCTCCGGATCCGAGGCTGTGTGCGTTTCGCGGCACCGTAGCCCCGGCTTGAGGGTTTTTTCCTCATGAGCTTCTCCCAGCAAGGAGCTGCGTTCCCTCGAAGGTTGAGCGGGTTCAGACACATTACTCTAACAGCTTCATCTGCCACAGCTGAAACTCCCGCTTGCGACTGGTGACCCTTGTTTGAACCCCTCTGCCTTCATCATACGAAGGGACAAGAAGGTCACGTTCATCACGTCTCCTTTGGAAGGCCATCCGCGGCCTTGCGCAGTGCCGCGCGAGCAGTCGACGGGCTTGGGGCTCAGTTCGCAAATCTCTGCTTTCTGTGAGCCCATATCTGCGTGTGTCTTCTCCCATCCGTTCAGGTCGCCGCCCGTCACTTCCCAAGGGTGCCTCCCTTACGATCAAGCCATTCCTTGCCAAGCCTCGAAGCATGTAAACAAGGGAAGACAGGGATTTCGTGCGAAAGCCGCAGGACCTGCAGCTTTATGCTTTTATGCAGTTGCAAGAAGCAGATTGCAGGCCATATGATGGTAAAGGCAAACACTACAGAATATTCGCGTGATGTAGCCCCTTTCTGATCAGGAATATGCCCCGAAGCTCTCGCAGTATGATACCATCGAGTGACGTAGTCTTGTGGATGTTGGAATCCCTTTGTCGACCCACCGTGGCGTGCTAGCCAGGGCCTGGAGCCGCGATAGGACGTTTTCTTAACATTAAGGGTGATTGGTACAGGATTAGGGTTCCCCACGAAGTTCACTCTAGGGTTCTCTAATCAAATCTTGACAGCTCTTGCGGCTTTTGGAGGGCAGCTCCAGAGCCGAAGCCCCACGAGGCGCGACACTTACGTGCACTTCAGCGGCCAGTCTCACAAGCTCGAAGATGGCCGGGCCCTCAGAAAGCCGCTTCAAGTCGCCCAGCCGAATCCTTCCGGTGGCCGAGGTTGAAAGCAGACCTTCTGCTCCTTTGCGGGAGGAGGGCTCAGGCAAGAATCGGGTAGTGCTTCTTCCGAAACTAAGATCCGAACATAGCTCATAGCGGCTTAATTACTATAGGTTGAAGTTACTGGGGTATTGGGATTTTTGGAAGTGAGCAGTGTTGCTCTTCTGTTAGCCTATCTGGTTTTGCGCAGGTCCCACATGTCGAGAAGGATAAGATGCGCAGATGCTGGGCGAGGGCGCACCAGCGGGAGAATACTAGATATACTAATTCATGCTGTGGACGTATATTATTTTTATATGTTGACATCTAAATCTTACGGTTTTTCTTAGTATTTAAGGTCCATGAAATTTTGGTTATATATATATATGGAATCAGATTTCGGGATAAGATTGCGATTTCATATAAGATTTAGATTGGAGCTATATACTAATTTTATAATTTATTTTTTATATATTTCTCCAAATGTTATTTATAAATATATGATTCTTATAAATATGCTACCATAATTTTAGATTTATATAAGAATTTTAAAATAATTGCATATTTATATTATTTTGAATTACGAGTTCTTATTTAGTTTTAAAAATTAAAAATTTTCTGGTTCTTGTTAAATAGAGTCGTTTTATTATTTCGGAATTTTTTTTAAAGATAGGTTCGTGAAAAATATATTTTAGATTTTTCTTTAAATTATGAGTTATGGTTATTTGATGGGGTGGGGTTTTAAAGGGCATAAATTCTATATATGATAAAGATAAATTTTGGTTAATAAACATTAATTTCGAAATTTTTTAATTTTAGAAAGTTGAAAGTTGTATATATATATATATTATTCTAATATTATATTTTATTCTTAGAATTTAATATTTCGAGAGATATTTTTTTACCTTAATTATTTCATTTCTCAATATTATAAATATAATATCGAGAAATTATAATTATAAATTATTAACATATAGATCTTATAATATTATTATATGAATTATGATTATTTATTTAAATTTGCTCTATTCGGTGCGTCGTGCCTCGGAGCGCTCTAATCTTTAAATTTTCGGTAAATTTCTAGATTCTAGTGAGTAGGTCTAAAAATTCTGGAAAAATTTAGAAGGTCGGGCTTTAATTTTAAGAGGGCGGGGCCTCTTCGGCGGTCTCGTGATAGGCCCAATCTTTTAAATTTCTCGAAAAAATCTTATAATTATTTTGAAGTCTTGCATTAGATTATCGTATTTCATTTATTTATATAGATTATCGATCACAGGGATTTTCATATATAGGGCTATGGAGTAGTGCTTGCACGCGAAAGTTCAATATTTGTCTGTCTATCTGTCTGTGTGTCTCTCTATCTCTCTGTCTCTCTATATCTCTATCTCTGTCTCTCTCTCTATCTCTCTTTTTTGTCTTTCTCTCTGCTTGTCTCTTTGATATATTTTGTCTATAAAGTATTACGATGATTATATATGTTTCTATGCGGTGCAGCACGCTTCCGGGGCGCCTAGACTTCAAATTTTTTTGGAATAATTTGTAGATTATAGCGCGCGAGTCGGTTCGGGTGATCTAGGAGGACCCAAAATTTCCGGAAAATTTAAAAACACGGATTGCAACTTTAAGAGGATGGGACCTCTTTAGAGGTCTCGGGCTAGGCCTAGACTATTGAATTTTTATTTTTAGAAAATTTAGAGATCCGGGAAGTTCGACGCCTCGCTCTCGAAATTTATAGAAAAATTTCAATTATCGTTCCTCTAAAATTTGGAAAATTTAGATCCGATAATTTTCGGAAAAATTAAAGAATAAATATAGCCTTCTAATATCTTATATTCTGAATATTATATGCATTATAGTCTTATATTTTAAAAAATCGTTCCTCATCTATTCATGCGGATTATCGATTACAGGGATTTTCATATATAGTGCTATGGAGTAGTGCTTGTACGCGAAAGTTCAATATCTATCTGTCTGTCTGTCTATCGATCCGTCCATTTGTCTGTCTCTCTATCTATCTATCTATCTCTCTATCTATCTGCTCTATCTATCTCTCTATCTATCTATTTTTTTGATATAATTTATCCCATCCAAATTCCTATTTTGCTTGATAACTGCTCCGGCCAAGGGCTCCATGAAGAGCAGTTCTTCATATATAATATAGTTTATCATGAGGTGCTCTCAATTTGATGGTTGCCGTTAGCTCCTATATACCCAAATTGCAGACGGCGACAAATTTCATATATATTCATTATATCTTTATATTATTACTGCCTCTCCCAGGCTATGCAACTTTCGGTCTCCCCCTCTTGTTATATTTTATCGCAAGGTATTATCATTTGAAACTTAGTTTCACTTTTGAGATGGCTGCCATAAAAATGAATAATTGCAGATTACCTCTGCCGCCATGAATCGATATCAATATATATAATTAGATATCTAAATATCCATAATTATTTATAGCGTTAGAAAATTACATACAAGAATTCGATATCAATTTATCCGTACCTATGCCACTATTAATTCAAACTGTGAACCTATATTTGAATAAAACTATAATTAAATACAAATTTTGAAAAATTATGAAATTATGAAAACTAAGAAAAATAGAAATAAGAATATATTCTACCTTATAATACTCTCATTAGACCTATATAGAATTCCGACCCAACCTTTAAATACAACCATCCCGAGCCCCCTCTCCACACCAATCAATTTTTATAGAGAAACAACTAATCACTCAAAAATATTAATCTTGCTTATTTTATTTAAGATATCATTCCTAATATCTAGAAAGAATCCCCTTCTTATTAAAATTTCTCTATCTCTATTTTTGAATTTATTCTTATCACTATTTCTATTATTTAAATATTCTTATATTTCTTTAAACTTAGATCCATATTATTATGTTTATTTCTTTTTATGATACTTTCTTTATATAATTAATTCTATTTCCTTAAATATATTTATTGTTATTAATTATTATCGGTCTATTTCTTTAAATTTAATTATTCTATTTATTTACAGCTTTCAATAAATTTTAAAATATATTTTAATATTTTATATAAAGAAATAAAATATTCATAATAGAAATAGAATTCTATGAAAATAATATTTCTCAAATAAATAATTAAAATAGAATGAAACTTTATGAAATATCGGTTATTATTACTATTCAATGAAATGAATGCCAAAATATCCAGGGGCGATCAGGTTTGCCTTGGGTTCTGTTTCAAGAGAATAATCATGTTGAATTTGTCGGGTTTCATAGGAGGGCTTTGTAGGATTCTATGGGCTTGAGGGGGGCAGGGGGGGCCTTCATTATTTAGTTAATTCAGTTTCGGTGGAAAGTGTGTTTTAATAGGACAAGACCATGAAGGGGACGCATGCTTAGAAACTATCTGATGCTATACCGGTGCACGATTCCAGAACCTACCAAAAGGTGTCTGCCCAAACCCCCAAAAGTAGGTACAATGATGGCCCAAAACCTCTAAACGGCTATTATTCTAAATACTTTTGGGGCCCGAGTAGCTGCGACGAACATGAGGATTGTGACAACTCATCCTCCTGCTCGTAGAACGGCTGTATTAAGCCATGAAGCCCCTGTCATCTGTATCCACATAACCATGAGCGCAGTTGCAGCACGGCTCATGGGCTCAGCTGTTGTGTGAGTGTAGCGAGCAGGCTTTGAGTTTAAGGTTTTAGGGTTAAAACCGTTTTCTGCTAGGGCCTCTATGGACAGGGTGGGGTGTTTTGTGCTCGCTCAGAAGCCTTCACGTGTTGCGCTGGCATAGCACGAAGCCAGTGGCAGCACACCCTACTCAAGGAGCGAACCTCCTGGCTCTATTCCGAAAATACACATAAAACTATTTGACTTCAAACTATAAATACTATTTTTCATTATCTAATGATGTTGAACATAACCCATCTTTCATATTACTATTTGCAAAATAAACTTCATTACTTTCAATATAGTCATATACCATCTATTCCGCATCTAGTTTAAAAATACTTTAGAAATAGACAGAAATCTCAATGCTCACACTGTGGCTGGCAGCAGGCCGCGGGTGGGTTTTTTCATGTCTTCTTTGATCGAGTCTGCTTGCCGCGCTGTTTCTTGCCTCAGCTGTGGTCACGGGGGCACAAGCCTCGAGCCGAACATGATGCGCAAGACTCATTCATCATCTCCACCCAAGGAATCCAACAGAGCATTCACTACAGCAGGACGTCCAAGCATTCATAAACGGCGAGCGGCTGAGTCGACCATCTGGCCCTGCTGGAGTTGCTGCTGCTCTTTTCTTGGATTTGGCATTTTCTCCTGCAGTCCTGAGAGAAATGGAAGTTTCGAAGGGCTTCTGAGAAAAAACACGCACAACCACCGCCACGAAGCTGAGCTTCAGGCCCGGCTGGCAACCTGAGCTTCTCTACATGGGAAAGCTTCTGAAATGCTCTACTCTCCTCACGATGCGTTGAGAGCAGCAGGTGGTTGTTGTTGTGTCCGCTTCCCCGCAGTTGCTCCACTTGCTGACTCGATGTGCTTTATACGTGTGGCCGGGCTAAACAAGCAGGGTCTCTTAGCATATCAGGCGCCAGATTTCACAGTTCCCGTGCCCACAGGGCGATGCCGGTTTTCAGATTCCATTGGTTTGCGTGTAAATGCGCCCAACAGCCTGTGAGGGCTTCGTTGTTTACTGTGAGCTGGGATCCTGGAAAGCGCCTGAAGCCGAATCAGAATGAGGGATTCAGGTGTCGAGTTCAATATGCCTTTCAGTCACAAGCCCAACCTCAAAACACATCCGTGAGACCGTAAGTAAAGAGCTGTCGAAGCATGCTTTCGGCCGGTGTCTGCAAAGCTCGGCTTCCTGCACACCTGCAGTCAGGGCCTTCTGCAAAGCAGCGCGGTTGGTGGAAGAGCCCAATCCTTTCACAAAGTGATTAGCAATGCCTGTGTGTGTTCCGGTGCTCACATATTGACGACACACATCAACAGCTCAGCCACCGTGGGCCGTACCGATCTGTCTCTGGAGCTGCGAAGACAGCATGGCCCTACCAGCAGCGGACAGGTGGACAACCTGCCCATGGTGCAGCAACGGGGAACACCACGCATGACACAACTCGAAGCACCTGATGCACATCTTTATGTGTGCAGTTTGCATCTGCTGTGTCTCGGCTGCGAAACCAGCTTGGCCTGTGACAGCATGCGTGCCGAAATATCCTGGCCGAACATAGATAATCAGTCAGCTTGTCTTGCAGCCGCTCACCCGCTACTTCGTGTGAGATGAATCGTTCCACCATCAACAGCACCAGGTCCTCCAAAAGCGCCTTCCAATGCTTGGGCGCAGCTGCGACGGCCTGGTATTGCACCCGATTTCGCGCGGCAGAGAACGCCTTCAGAGCCGTCCTCATTCTCAGCGAGGTTGGCTAGCTTCACTAGCCTCGGAGAAGCAATCCAATCTTTTGCAACCCGTGCTTGCGTGGCATTCTGGCATGGCTCCGCTGCTTAGGGCCACAACTGATCTGGGGCAAGGTCTTCAGCCTGGTCGGTTGCGTCCTTCGGCCGAGGCTCTATTTGTGTCAGTCTTTTGTGAGATGCAAAGCTAGGACGGCCTGAGCAGAAGTCTTCTGACTGGAGGCTGGCGGTGTGCTCCTGGAGAGGACCTCTGCAGCTTGAGTTGTACAATCTGGATGCTGCAGTTGGCGGCGGAGCCTTTGGCCAGCTCGCTATCAGTTCGACACCAGTCGGCTCCTTCAAGCTTTGTTTCTTTCTATCTGAAAGTACGTGCTGCAATTCCCTGCGAGTCGGGTTCCCGCCTGCAGGAAAACGGGCGTGACCTGGTGGACTCCAAACTCCAACCGAATTCCCAATTAGTTTTCTCAAACAGGTCGGCAAGGCTACCAGGAGCTGCTTTGCAGGGAAAGCTGGTAGCCGCCGTAGCAACTCTTGTGCAACCGCCTCTGCTGCAGCTCGTGGCTTGTGGCTTGTGCCGGTTCATGTGCGACACGAGATTCAGAAGACGGACTGGCCAGAACAGCAAGTAGAAAGAACCGCGTTTGGGGTTACGGCTTCCCGCAGCTCCTTCCAGCCATGGCCCAGCGTTGCCAAAACCTGAATGCACCATGTAACATGTGGCTCATTTGACACCGAAGAAGACTTGCAGTCTACACTCGACACATTTTCCAGTTGTACATGGTAACCGTTTTCCTTACCCACCCTTGTTTAGCCGTGCTAATGCCCCAACAGCAGTGTCTGCAACCGATCACGAGACACCTCAAAACTCAAGACGTCTCTGACCTACTAATTCCAGCTACCTCGTCGCACACCTTTGTCACAAGCTCCACGAACACTTGGAGACGCTAGGGCCACCACGAGGCCCGCCAGGTCTTCAGAACCTGAAGTTCGTGCACAGGATCTTTGCTTCGGACTGAAGTACTACAGTGAGTAAATGAGCACATGGCCCGTGCAGGATGCCACAGGCTCGGCTTCAGCTAAGGTCTGTGCCAAGTTGCCCCAGCTGTGGCTTCAAAACCGTCTCAGCCTCAGCAATGGGCTCCATGTCAGGGATAGCGGGATGAGCAGGTTCTGCTGAAGATTGCGGAGGCCAATCGCTGTGCATGTCCGAGGACCCCTACTCCTCAATCCGAGACCCCTGCTGCTACTCGCAAGGTGTCTTTGACCTAGCAGCCATGAACAGGTGCGTGTGCATTCTCTGCTGGAGGCTGGAACACCACCGGCTTTCCGGTGATCAGCAGATCATGCGGTTAATCTGCAACGCTCTCAAGACACAGATCGAACTTCAAACCCTGAAAGACCCTCAACCTCACGTCTGTGACCTCAGCAGGCAGCCCTCCACGCCGGCGAGCAACGGCCAGCAGCAGCTTCACCAACTCAGATTGAGGGGTACTGGGGTACCATCATGCGGAATTTATTTAATCCGTGGCCCAATGGTATGCGCGCTTTCAGAGGCGTCAGGCTGAGCTTCTGACATCGTCCAAGCGCAACTTCTCCAGAATGCTGGCGGCGGCGGCCGCCTGTCTGGGTGGAACTTTTCCGTGCCTAGCCCCCAAAATAATACATCCTTGCAGCCTGAGGCCTTGAAACCCTGTCGAGCACCATCGCCATGAATCCTAAGCCACTCCTTTGAATGCCATACAGGCCGGCAGCGCAGTTCCCGGCGACAAGGGCTCGAGAAAGTCGTGCTTTGACGACCTCAAGCCGGTACCCTCAAGGTTGTGTGTGCCTTCTTGAACTCTCCTGAGCGCACTGCAACAATGCAGCTTCCAGCAACAGCTCTGGCGTGAAATCGTGGAATGAGTCCTGAGAGTAGCACGCTGCAAGTGCAGTTCTGTTCCGTGTGCATCCGAACTCGAAAACTACTTCATGGAATCCTTGCTGGCAAGAATTTCCGCGACTGCTTGAAGGTCGTCAGCCTGTCCGCGCATTCATCAAACACGACCAACATTCCATTTGACCTAGGCACGTACGACCACTGCATTCGGCACGGCGCTTCAATCAACAAACCATCTCGATTGCATAATTGCAAATCAATGCAACAATGCACGAGCGGCTTCGAAGTAGAATCTCTTGTGCAGCTCTGCTGCAGCCGCGTCTTGTTGGCAACATGCTTCATTTTCAAGACATCGCTGCTCCATGTAACCATCACGTGTGAAGCCTTCATGGTTTTCCTTTGTGACTATCATCATGGACTCTCCCTGCTCACCAAAGTAGTTCGCCAGCGTTGAGATATCAACATTCAACATCTTGCGTGGTCGGGCCACGCACGTTGACGGCTTCAACTTCAATCTCACCCTGCAGCGTAGCCAACGAACAAGAATACGAGTGGCTGCTGCGGCCTGCAGTACACTGATTTCGGGTGCCGGTATCCGAAACGGTCATTGCCGAAGATGACTACTGTACCTTCGTGCCACGGCTGTGGCAAACCGCATGCTCGCGCGGCGCCAATGCTTGGTGCAGGAGGTCAGGAGGATACGCAGTGCACTGCACCTTACATTGCCTTACATTTTACAAGATCTTTTCTTGAATGCCTTCGTATTTAGGGTTTAGGGTTCAGGACGCCAAAATTAAGGTAGCCATGTCTTGTCAGAGCGAAAGAAGTCTCGAAACCACATCGGTTCAGCAAGTGCCTGGCCAGGTCCGGCTTTCTGTGCCAAGACCAGCAAAGCTTCGGCCTGAGCGCAGCCGCTCAAAGTCAGAATGCTCACTCCGAATATAATATAGTATAGTATAGCATAAGTATAAATATAAATCTATATCACTTTTTCACTTTCATGGCAATGAGTCAAGCTCTGACGCAGCCTATTGCTTGCAGTAATTAAAGGTGAAACACATCAAGCACTCGTCGCACGTGACATTTCCTACTGCGCGGATGGTTCCCTTTTGGAGACTGTACGGTGCAACCCGC